CTGTTGTGAGTAAATTGATTTAGAAAATTGTTTTCAGACAAAATCTAAACTAATCAACACATATTATGGAAACATCAAAGAAAATTACAGCATGCAGGCTTATCTATTTTGAAGCGCCACACTGCATTTGACACTMGTCTCAGTATGTATAAAATGGAATTAACGGATTCAGTTCCAAAATATCCATCATATCCATATCCTGCTATATTATAGAACAAACTTTAAGATCTTAGTCTATCCTTCCTTATTAGATAGATATATCTTACATTTGTGTGGATATAATATTCAAAGTATTTTTCTATGACTGGAATATATGGAATTAACGGGATTCAGTTCCATAATATCCATCATATCCTCCTATATAGAATAAGCTTTAAGCTGTTTCAGTCTATCCTTCCTTAATACATAGATTTATCGATTAGACAACAGAAGGTAGCGCGCCCATGACGTTATAGACGCACGACAGAAAATATAAAGAACGATTGACAAGCGTTTAGAGTGTCACGAGCCGAAGCCGAGTACACTCTAGCTTGTTAAGAGTTCTTTATATTTCCTCAAGTCCGTTGATCGAGGTCAGCGTGCGCGAGCGTGCAGCCCATGGGGAAATAGTTCGTTGGTTTTTGGCCAATCAGAGAGCGCGTAATAATCTAGTTATATTGTAAATRTCTAATATTTGTAAYATAATATTCAAAGTATTTTTCTTTAACTGGAATATATGGAAWTAACGGGATTCAGTTCCATAATATCCATCATATCCATATCCTGCTATATAGAAGTTTTCATAGCATTTAACCCGACTGAGTTAACGACATACGGAACATTGACGTTCCTTTCTAATCTGTTCCTCCAGCAAACTAATTTTACATTCAAATGTCTCTCAGTTTGTAAGTATCGCTCGCAAGCTCAAATCAAAGTTGCATGCTATTAAATCTAATATTATTTTTTACCACACTATTGCCATTGACACGTAAGTCTTATCCCAGAGATCAAATTTTAGCTTTGAACATCAGGCAACTAACGTGAAAGTTTAAGAAACCATCAGCGCCAATATCATCTTTATCATTTTCACCCTACTACTTGATCATCATTCATAAAACATTATCATTATCATCCAGACAGCCCATCCATCACTGACAGCACACCCTACTACCCTTACTTGATCACCATCACTGACAGCACACCCTACTACCCTTACTTGATCACCATCACTGACAGCATACCCTACTACCCTTACTTGATCACCATCACTGACAGCACACCCTACTGCCCTTACTTGATCACCATCACTGACAGCACACCCTACTACCCTTACTTGATCATCATCACTGACAGCATACCCTACTACCCTTGCTTGATCATAATCACTGACAGCACACCCTACTACCCTTGCTTGATCACCCTCACTGACAGCACACCCTACTACCCTTACTTGATCACCATCACTGACAGCNACCCTACTACCCTTACTTGATCATCATCACTGACACATTTTGTCTAAGCCATACTATTTGATACCACTACATACAGTTAACATATTCCGTAAATAAAATATGATCTGGCTTTGTGCTGTCACAAATTATCACAAATTATCAAAAAAGCGTATACCACTCTATATTTATTAGTATTTCTTTGTATTTAATATACATTTAACATACATAAGGACTAGTTTTAAAACGCTTTTTAGACCTGTATTATATAATTTTTGAATTACTTCCAATTAGCTGTCGTTTATTTTGTTTTGATCATTCATATACTGTATGTAGCTAACGGGGTTTTGGGAGAGAAAAAAATCAAACTGGCATTTCTGAAGGTATTTGATGACAATTTGACAAAACGAACATAAATGGCTCACAAATGTTTTCTGTTCATCAAAGTGTGCTTGTATACCGGAAGTTCTTTTCCCTCTTTAAAGAAATCTGATTTTTATTTTGTACGTCACTACACTAAAAGGCCTARAGTGATTCTTAGAGTAAACTGATTAATATCCCAAAGAACTGTAATATCRATAAATTCATCTAATCATCTAGGAGATCATCGTCGTCCATTAAGTCATCGTCATCAAAATTGAAATCATCCTGTAATAAATAAACATCGATTCAATATATGAAGACAATAATGTGCAAACACTGGGTGGTTTTATGATTGGCCCGTGAAAAAACTACACTTATTTCAATWAAGTTAGTCCCCTAAAAAGCTATAAAGCTGAGGCCRACAAGGATTATGGGTAGATTCATTTTACACGTTCAACCGCTTGATAACTGTTCATGGACATTTTTTACCGGTTACAGTCACACCTTTTTTGAGCATCATCGAGCTCCAGTTTGTATCAAAAAAACTTCGTATATATATGCTTTTTTGATATGAAAAGTATCCCATGAAGCTCAGTGATCTCAGCTTTCTAGATTTTTGGTGACTAACTTTATTGAAATAAGTGTATACGTATAATACATAGTAGTATACTAGAGTGATTTTAACTTATCCGTGGAAGAACAGTCAACGCAATGGTAGGCACAAATTCCATTGTTTTATATTACTTTACTTTGACTGTTAGTCACTATTTATACATTTTTCACAGGCCAAGTAAAATCAATGTATATCGTACTATTTCGCCATACATCAATAGTGAATCAATTGAAATTCATCAAGGGTGTAAAAGCATCAAGTCATTTGGGGTTAATGTACCGAGATGACGTGACGTGACGTGACACAAGTACAAAAAGTCAGAATAACACAATCCAAGATTTTCTACCAAGCCTTTAAGGTGCCTGGACCCCCTCACGCTTGACCGCTACCTTCCACTTTTGGAACGCTGGKGCATAAACGTGTTTTATCCGATTGCAAATCTTTTTTGCACATAAGTCACATAAAGATTGAATTAATGTTTGATGCAGTTTTTAATGAGATCGGACGTCATAACACGTGGTTATGATGAAATATT